TAATAATGATAATTTTTATTATTATTATTATTCAAAAAAGTAACAATATTCGGAATAATAATAATATCGTAATAATTCGAAAATAGTAATAAATTTTTTATGGAAATATTGGAATTTCATATATATAATTCTGATAGTAAGAAAATTTTCCAATAGAGCTACAAAACAGGTTAAAAATTCGTCTTTATTATTACTTTATATATACGTATAAAATTTTACGATATATGATGAATTTTCTGTCATATTCATTTTTTTTAAAGGAAAATGTTTTTAAAATTTTAAATTAAAATTTCGTTCTTATTCTTATATAAAAATCTATTTTTCTATCTTTTAATATTGTAAATATCTTTTAGAATTTTCTCTATTTTTTATATCATATATTTATTATATAGAAATACATAATACAATAACTAATAATTCAGGGGGGAAAAATTGTGCAAAAATGTTCAAGAATTCACAAATATAAACGTAGATAAATAGTTTCAAGAGAATTTTTCTTAAAACTTTTATGAAAAAATTCTTTTATCCTGCAATGAAACACAATTTGCTTCTTTCTTTTTTTTTTAGTAAAAATAGTTTTACTTATTAGATATAATAATGCAGGTCTGAAATTTTTTTGAATAAAATAAAACATTAATGATTTAAAAATGAATTTAAAGAAAGGGGAAAAAAAAGAATTAGAAAAACTGAAAAAAAATTTTCAATTTAACAAAAACTAAAATTTAATAAAATTAACAAAAAAAAAAAAAACGAAAATTAGAAAAAAGCGGAAAGTAATTAAAGAAAGTAGAAATATTAATTATTTAAATTACTTATAATTACAAAAGAGAATATTATTTGTATAATGTAATGCAAATAACGCCTTTAGAGAATTGAGAATCAACTCTCCGCTAGGATATTCGTTTTATATAATAAAATACACTATACAATATGAAAACCGCAGGCGATTTCAGAATATGCTGAAAATGAGTTTCTTGAATAACCATTGCATTTTGGATAACGTGACTACTGGTTTGGAGAAACTGACATCAAATTTAAACTGTTCCGGTGAACTGGTGAGAATTTAAACTTGAAAATGAGAATGAATTTTATTACATACACACAAAAACGATATACAAGTGCACAATATACCCAAAGTGGAACAATTTTTACTCAAAAAAAAATTCTATTTACATTTTTATCTCTTCCTCCCTCAAAAAAAAAATTCTATTTAAATTTTTTTTCTAGTCCCCCCTCAAAAAAAAAGTTCTATTTACATTTTTTTTTCTCTTCCCCCCCTCAAAAAAAAAACAGAATAGAAATAATTATTTCAATAAAAATTGAATTTTAAATAATTTTTTTCTCTTCCTCCCCCGCCCCCCCCAAAAAAAAAAACAGAATAGAAATAATTATTTCAATAAAATTTAAATTTGAAATTTCAAAAAAATAATTTACCAATAAATGTTTATTTTTAAATTATAGAAGAAAATGGAAAAATTAATTAAAAATTAGAAAATAATAAAAAAAAAAAAATTAATAGCACATTTGAAGAGTAAAATTTTTTTTTTTTTTTAATTCAAATTTTACAAAATTCATTAACAATTATCCCTCGTAATTAACTCAAGTGAATTTCGTGTTTTATGAACTTTCTTTTTTAAACTCATGATCTCTTCCCCCATGAAACATAGTTTTTTATTCCGATCGAGTGAAATTTTTAGGCTATAAAAAAAAATCCACTGGTGATGTAGCTGAAATCCATAAAATAATTTTACGCGTTAAGCTTTCTGCTCGTTATCTCTCTTGGCTTTTTAGTAGCCAGTGTAATGTTTGACATTAAAAAAACGAAAAAAAAAAAAAGAAAAATTGTACGTTATAACTACCACACGTCATATTCTGGCTTAAAGCCAAAAAGTAAAATTATTTCCACGACATTTTACATATATATATGTATATACCTAATCGAGAAAATAACAATTATTAGTCTAGTCATTTTTTTTTCATTCCACATTTTCTGCCTGTTGCACTTTTTTTCAAACATTAAAAAATTGAGAATTTATTTTTTTTCCCTTTAAATTCACTCGCAATGTAATTTTGCAATTTCTTTAATAAAAATCAGTTGATTAAATAAATAGACAGTGGAAATTGTGTAAAATTTAAACATTTGAGAAATGGGAAGAAAAATATATTAATGAATCTCTCTCTCTCTCTCTTTCTTTCTTTTTCTCCAAGGAGTTATTTTGCTAAAAGGACAAAGTAGGAATGACTTAAGGGAAAATGAGAAAATTGGAAAAGATCATTTGTCTGAATGAGAGTGAAGTACATCCCCCAGTAACCATTAATTTACTGGACTTCTATTGAAACAAACAAGAGTCGAAAGAAATTTTTTTTTATTTCTCCTTTTTTTTAATTCATTTTCTTATTTGAAATAGACAAACGATTTTTTTTTCGTACCCTCCTCTGTATATAAGGAAACTTTAAAGAAAACACACAGAGAGAAGAGGGTAAAAAAACGAAATGAAATTATTGCACTCTTTCTTCAATTATTTCGAAATTTTCTTTTCTCCTTCAAAGAGAAGAAAATATCTTTGTGTCTACGCAGTTTTTTTTTTTTTTTTTTGCTTTAACAAAGAAAGTTACTTATTTAATGTTGTAATTAAATGCATATTCAGAATACTTCACTGATGAAAAATGTAAAAGTTCCAACTGTGAAGGGAATAAGAAAAAAAATGGAAGTTAACGAAGAAAGAGAAAGCAGGAGGATGAGAAGGGAGGAAAAAAGAAATGAGAGAAAAAGTAAATGAAAAAAAATACACCAATTGAAAGAAGATAAGGAAAAAGAAGTGAAAATAGAAAAAAAGTAATGAAGAATCAAGGCAACTAATCAGAGAGAAAATCAAATTTAATGACTATTTGTTGCAGAATAATTGAATTTTGAAAAAAGAAATTAGGATTATAAACATTATTATCATTATTATTATTATTATTATTATTATTATTATTATTATTATTATTATTAACAATATTAAATATTCTATTTTATAAATAATATATTGAGCTACTATAATTATTATGTTTATAATTCATTTATAAATTATTTCTATTTTATTTTATTTTTTTAAATTTTATTTCTTATTTATTTTTCCCTTTAGTTTACAATACAGTCGACTCTCGATAAAGTTTAATTTTAAAAACCATAGAAAAAATTCAAGTATTCAATATTTTAATCAAAATTTTTTCAATACACCAGAAACAAACTTCAATTTTTTGAGAAATTCAAATTACCAAATAGTTGACTGTATTATATTTTAATTTTTTTCATTACTTATAAATATTTTATAAAGAAAATTATTATTTAAAAAATTGGCCAATATTTTAGGTATCGAAAATTTTTCAAAAAAAAAACCAACTTCAATTTATTGATGAATTTTATTTCTCGAAAATTTATTTATAGAGAGTTGACTGTATTAAATTTTTATTTTATTGTATATTATTTGTTAATATTTTATAGGATAAAATTATAAATATAAAAAAAAATTGACAGTCAGCTCTCGATAATCAAACTTTGAATAAATTGAAATTGAATTTTGGTGCTTTGATAAAATTTTAATACTTGAAATATTTGATATAAATAAAACTCTCAAAAAATTAATTTTTTTCTATGCTCCTTGGTATTCAATTTTATCAAGAGTCGACTGAATATAAATATTATAATAATATAATAATAATAATTATTATAAAAATTAATAATAATGGTTGTAATAATAATTTTAAATTATAAATCAAAAATAACTTATAAAATTTTCGAACTAATAAAAAAATTTTTCTGTCATAAAGAAAAAATTTGTTAAAAAAAAATTTGGGTGTAATTCGCATTATTTATTAATAATTTTTTTTGTGCAGAAATATACAGAGGAGGACTAAATTAATCTCAATTATAACAAGTCTCCGGACCGGATTTCATTATGAAAGTAATTTTTTTTTGTTTTTTTTTTTTTTTTTGAAGTTTAATGTGTCTAATAACAGGTTCGTTTAAAGAAAGCATAAATGGGGAAATTATACAATCAACAACAGGAACGACATTTCAAAACAACTTTTTTTCTAATTAAACGAAAATTGTATGATTACAATTAAAATTTTATCACTTGTGTCTTTGATAGAAAACTGATTGAAATTTTTATTCGAATATAAAGATTTCTTACAATAAAAGTTTTATAAATTTTATAAAAAAAATTTAATTTAATTTAATTTTTTAATTTTTTAATTTTTTTTTTTTTTTATTTTTTTATAATAAAATTATAAAAAAAACTATTATTATAAATTTGGAAAAAAAACTATAGTAATTTTTTTTTATAAAAAAATACTTAAATACTTAAAAAATAGAAAAATGAAAAAAATTAATTTATATAAAAGTATTTATAGTATTTTTCACTTTTTTTCCTTTGTATTGGTTTTTCTTTCCTTTTAGCGACGCATTTTATAAGCGTCTGACCACATGGATTTAATACTACTGATTCGATTGCAAATCGAATGAAGAGGATTTTTTTTTTAATTTATTTTTTTTTTTTATTTTTTAGAAAGCAGTAAAGGGAAATAGTTTTCCTTTGTAGGTAATCTGTTTTAGTTTCGGGCAAAAGAAAACACGAATTTGCTTTCCCTGTTTCAATTTTCTCATACAATGCCCGACTAAAATCCCCTTACACTACTTGTGGCCCATACGAAATCGATATCAGTCGACTCTTCAAAAAAAAGAAACAAAAAAAAAAAAAAAGAAACTGATTTTTTTCTGACTGTAAAATGTCAAGGTTTTTGTTTTCATTATTTATTTATCTAGCGAGAACAATTTTTTTATTGTTTATTAAGAGAAAAAATTATTTATTTTATTTCCGTAAATAATTTTTTAAATAAAAAACTTCTAATTAAATATTTAATATATAATTTACTGTAATTTTTCCGTTAGTTTTAAGCATTTGAGAATTTTGAAAAAAAAAAATTGAATATTAATGAGTGAATTTTTTTTTCAGCTCCCCCTCAAATAGTTGAGATTAGCAGTCATCCACATTTGGACAAAATAGAAATAAAAGCCGGAGATAAATTAACACTGGAGTGCGCGGTACGAATGGCTAAACCAGCTGCCACTATTATTTGGTATCGAGAAAATGTTGCAATCAAAGGAGGCGATATCAACGTCGACCCTATACCAGTATCGGATGGTAAGATAAATATAAATATTTTCTACTTTTTTTTTTTTATTTCCTGATAATTTATTTTTTTATTCATTAAATTATTACATGGATAATTTATTATTTATTATTATTTATTTATAGTTTTTATTATATTTTTTTATATATTTTCTTTATATTGTTTATTATTTAAACATATTACATTTTTTATTACTTACTATTATTTTATTTTTTACTCTCTAAATTTCAATTATTAAAAATGTTTACTAATTTGAATTAGTGACTGATTTTGTTGCTTTTGAAATAGTAAATTTTACTCTAATAAATAATTAGTAGAAATTACTATTTATTAGTAAACTAATTCAGAAGCTAAAATTCCATCACTATAATAATTAAAATTAGTAAACATTTTTATTTTTACTTATTCAAATTTCGAATTTTTAGTTACTATCATTTTGGGTCATTTTTTATACATTCTATTTATTCTATTTATTATTTTCTAAACTTTTCAACGTTCAAGTGAACGAAATATTTTTTTGTGCTTTTATATAATTATTTTATATATAAAAAATAAAAATACAAAAAAAATTATGATAAAATTGTGATCTGAAATTAGTAAGAAAAAAAAACAAATGAATTTTCTTTAAAAAAAATAAAAAAATAATTGTATTTTTTAGCCTAAAAACAGATTTTTTTTCAAAAAAATGCTATAAAAATCAATTTTTTTATTTGGAAATTTTCTTGTGGATTCAAAAACATATTTTCTACAAAATTACGAATGGATTTCAAAATCTACCAATTTTTAAAAAAAATAAAAATTCAAAAAGGGTCAAAATATTTTCTGACCGATTTTATTTTATGACCACACAAAAAATTACTTTAAAAATAATTTTGTTAAATATTTAAATTATTTCTTTAATATAGTTAAAAATATAGGTGTATCCTCCCCTTAAAAAAATTAATATTCATGGTAACTTTTTCATAAAATATTATAAAATACCTAAATAAACAAAAAAATGTTAATAATAATAGAAATTAATAGGTATTTAGTTATAATAATAAGAATGTTGAAATAATTTTTATCTGTTGTAGAGAGTTATGGACACTTACCTACTCTTTATAATAAAAAAAAAATAATTTTTACCATTATTTTTTTTATCATATTATAATTATTATTATTGTATTAATAAACAATTCTTTTTTTTTATTAAAATTCATGTTTTCCAATAATTAAAAATGCCCGAGAGATAAAATCATTATTTTATATTATAAGAATATTGTTACTGTAACTTTATCAAAATTATTTTCATCTTTTTAATTCAAATATTATTTTCTAGAATTTTAAATTATTTTTTATTACTTTTTATCCTTTTTATGAAAATAATTGAATTATTGCGAAGGAATTTATAAAAAAAAAAATTGTAAATAATTAAATTCCTGTGAAATTTTTATTATTTATGAAAATAATTAAATGTTTGCTTAAAATTTTTTTTAAGTAATTGAATTTCTTTTTTGAGAAATTTTATTTAAATAGTACTAGATATTGAAAATCATTGCAATGAGAAAAATTTTTGAAAATAATTAAAATTAAATCAAGAATTTTATTCACATTTTTTTAAATAATTGAACTTTGGTGAAGAATTTTGTTTATATATTTATAAAGATAATTGGGAATTTGACGAGAAATTTTTTTTTTTAATTTTGAACATAATTGAATTTTATTTCCTTTGAAAATAATTGACTTTTTACAATTATTTGTAAATTTGTAATTTCTCCAAAATTGAATGTTTTTAGTGTTTTCAACAAAAAATTTGAATTCCTGTAAAATTTTAATTATTTTTAAAAATAATTAAATGTTTGCATACAATTTTATTAAAAAATTTTTGAAAATAATTGAATTCTAGTGAGATCTTATTTTGTTTAAGAAAAAATACATTAATATAATTTTGTAATTATTTATAAAATTACAAATCCAAACAAAATAACATCGTAAAATATAATTGAATTATATTTGCAAAATTTTATTAAAATAGTAGATATTAAAAATCATTAAAATTAGAAAAATGATTGAAAATAATTGAAAGTAGGACAAGAATTTTTTTGTTATTTATGAAAATAATTGAATTTTGCAGAAGAATTTTGTTATTTATAAAGATAATTTGGATTTTTACTAGAATTTTTTTAAAATTTTGAACATAGTTGAATTTTATAAGAATTTTATTTTTTTCTTTAAAATAATTGAATTTCTGCAATTATTTGTAATTTCTCTCCAAAATTGAATTTTTTTAGTGTTTTCAACAAAAATTTAAATAAGAAAATTTCTAAATTCTATTATTTTTGAAATTGATAATTTTATTTAAAAAAAAGTAGTAAGAAGTTAGTATTTTATTAAAACAATTTCCTATCAGACAGAAGTAATCGATTTTTTATAAATTCATAAACTCGATTAATAAATAAATAGTTCGAATTTTAATTAAATTCACTGTTGATTAATTAAAAAGAAAAGGAACAAAAAAATTCCGGAAATTAATGAAAACGAAGAATTTCCCATCATTTTATAATTTTCACGTTTATTTCATTTTTTGTTCGCTTCGACAGTTTTCCAGACGATATCATTGAACGCTTGGCTTCTTACTTGTGCGGTTTTTCTCTCTCTTAAAAAAAACAACTTACGTCTGAAAATCTTCGACAGCGAGAGAGTGAGAGAGTGAGTGAGAGGGAAAAAAGATTAAAACTAGTAATACTTTTTCTTTTGATGTTTCATTAACACGAATGGCGTGGATTTCCACTGGCTTGAGTTAATTCGACCCAAGAGATGACCAGCGATTGCAATGTATATAGTATCAGAGAGGCGAGAGAGGAAGAGTGAGAGAGAAAAAAAAAGGGAAAAGTTGATTTTGGACTCTGGAAGCGAGCCAGACTTACGTGCCGACCAATTGATCTAGGATATAGAATAGAATTCCTATTCATTTTTTTTCTTTTCTTCTTTTTTTTTATCATACTATATATATATATATATATATAACTCGCGATATGTGCAGCTGGATTTTTATTCATCATACTCATCGCTTTTTTCTTTTTCGGCTTTTTATTGATTTTTCCACTACGGCGTTCGAGCTTTAAATTAGATATACGTGAAATTACTTTAGTTGGCTTTGAGAAATAATAGAGCAATCTATTTTTGCCAAGCTTAGCTTTCACTATTATATGAGAAACTTTCAGTTTTGTCTCTTTTCGATGCGATATTTTATTATCTACATATAAAAACCTATATCAATGATTTATTTTATTGGGAGTTAAAAACTTAAAGAGAATTCGAAGAACTGCTTATATATGAACATTAAAAACTGAGTTCAAATATTTTACATTGAAAAAAATAAATTTTGTTCGACTCTTCTACTATATATTTTGATTCTTGTTTTAACTTCAATTCTCAATTTTCCTTTGGAGATTTTTTCCCATTTTGTTAAAAATAATTTTTCTGAAAATTAATTTATAAAAATTAGATTCTTCTCGTTGTTTTTTTCTTTTATCAATAAAATTTTTTTTGAAATAAATTTATAAAAATTAAATTCTTCCGCTTGTTTTCTTTCTTTTATCAATAAAAAAAATAATAAAAAGAGGAATTTTCAAATTTTCGATTGGAAATTTTTTTAAATAAAAATTTTCCAGAAATAAATTTATGAATAAAAATTAGATTCTTCTTTTTTTCGAGTAGGAAAATATCATTTTTTCTGAATAGAAAAAAGAACAATGTTCAGTTTTTCAATCGGGAATTATTTTCACATCTTTTAAAAATATATTTTTTCTCGAAATAAAGAAAGGATATTTTTTTTTTTACAAAAAAGGACGGAAAAATTTGATTTTTATTCATAAAAAAGAATTTATTACTAAAAAATTTATTTTTCCAAAAATGGGAAAAAAATTCTAAATTGAAAAATTGAAGATTCTTCTTCTTCTTTTTTTTACCGAGAAAAAAAAGAAGAAGAATCGTCAATTTTTCGATTACGAATTTTTTTCCCTCTTTGTAAAATTAAATCTTTTAGAAATAAATTTATGAATAGAAATTAGATTTTCCTTTCTTTTTTTTTTGAGTGGAAAATTTTTTTTTTTTCAATAAAGAAATAAGAAGATTCTTCAATTTTTCAGTTGAGAATTTTTTTCACACTTTTTAAGAAGAAATTTTTCAAAAACAAATTTATGAATAAAAATTAGAAACTTCAATTTTTCGTTTCGGAATTTTTTGTATTGTATTTTTGTATTTGTAAAAATAAATTTTTCCGAAATGAATTTAGTAAGAAAAATTCAAATTCTTCTTTTCTTTTTTGGAGTGAAAAAATTTTCATTTCTTTTCTCAATGAAAAAAGAAAAATTTTCGAATTTTTTTCTCACACTTTGTAAATATAAATTTTTCCGAAATGAATTTAAAAATAAAAAATCCAATTCCTTTTTGTTTTTTTTTTTTTTTTGTTGGCGAAAATTTTCTATTTTTCCCTTTTCTCAATAAAAAAGAAAAAGTAGAAGAGAAAGTGAAATTGTTTGTAAATATTTTTCTCGTCATGCGATTTTTGAAATTCTTAAGCTAGATTGTGATGGCCCTTGGAGTTTCGTCTCGAATCGTGATATAAAAGAAGGGACAAATGCACAAAACCAGTAAAAGCTTCTGCCCGGAGGCTTTTAGCTGAGATTTAAGTGGTGTCCCCCCTCCCCCCATTCTAACAACTGTTTTCTGTTGTACGTTAAACTTTCCCATTACAGAACACACGTTACAAGCACTCCTCTTAAAATTTATAGCTTTTCTAATAATTCACAACTGATTTTAAGTTGTGTTTTTTTCACATTTATCCTTAAATGTGCTTTTACACGATTTTTTTATTTTCATCTCCAAAAAAAAACAACTTTACAAATTTTTCGTATTTTTACTTCTTTATTTCAATATTGTAATTTTTTGATAATTATTTATTTTGTTCAATAAAATACGGGACTGTAATAATTAAAAATTTATTTATTACCATATATAAGCGAGACTCGAATTTATTTATTATTTTACCGAAAGAATTTATTAATATTTAATTATTAATTAATATTTAATTAAATAATAATTATTTAATTATTTATTTATTATTTTACCGAAAGAATTTATTAATATTTAATTAATAATTAATATTTACTTAAATAAATAAATAATAAATAAGTTTGAGTCCCATTAATTTTACCGAAAAAATTTATTAACATTTAATTAATAATTATTATTTACTTAAATAAATAAATAATAATAAATAAATTTGAGTCCTATTAATATTTAATTAATAAATTATTTTACTTATAAAAGAGAAGAATCAAAAGGTAATTTTTGAGAAGAAAAAAAAGAAGAAATTTTTCATCAATGAAACAGCTGAATTTAAAATTGAAATAAAATTAAAAAAGAAGATATTGATCAGAGAAGAAGAAATTCTGGAAAAGAACTTTCAGTTGGACAATAAAATTTTATTGGCAATTTTCAATTGTTTTTTTTTTCATTTTTCTTTTTACTATTATAATTGTCGTTTATTCCAATTTTTACGAGTATTTCTAAATTATTTAATTTATTTTCAGATAAAGAGATACTAAAGGATCAGGGCAATAAGAAAAAACCAATGAAATTCGATACAACTGGATCATTAACTATTGTTACAACTCCCGAAGATGATGGAATGAGTTATACCTGCGAAGCGAGACATCCTGCCATTGGAATTGAACGACCGATGAGAGCAACTGTGAAATTATCTGTTTTCTGTAAGTATATTTTACGTTTTTTATTTTTTTAATTAATTAACTGCGTAATTCATAATTTGTCTTATTTTTATTTGAAAAAAAACAATATTTAAAAAAAGAAAAAAAATAATAATCAGTTTAATTTTTTTTTTTTATTAATTAAATAATTAATTATTTTGTAAACAAGTGTATGAATAAATAATAAAATAACTAATTATTTAATTAATTGTTCAATTATTTAATTGGTTATTTATAATTATGTATTCAATAATTTAATTATACAATTAATAATTTAGTTATTTTATTATGTAAATTAATATTTAGTTAGTTATTTAATTATATAATTAATTATCTAATTAATTATTCAATCACTTAGTTAATTAGTTATTTAATTAGTTATTCAATTGTGTAATTAATTATTTAATTCGTTATTTAATTATGTAATTAATTTTTTAACTAGTTATTAAGTTATGCAATTAATTATTTAAACATTTAATTAATTAGGTATTCAATTATAGTTATTAATTTAATAAAACTGAATTTCTTAATTATTGATTATAATTACATATCAATTTGGAAATAAAAGATTTAAAAATGGATTTTTTTGGTTTCTATTTTTAGAGTTTGTCTGCTTTTCAAGTTACCTATTTTATTTTTTTACAGTTAAGCAAATTTTTCAAATTATGGAAATTTTCGAATTTAAAAAAAAAATGTATAAAAACTCATTAATTTACGATTCATTTGTTTTAGATTTCTATGACGTAAACTTAATCTGCGTTATGTATTTTTAAATAAAAAAAAAAATTTTTTTTTCAAATCAATGAAACTTATCGCTTACATTTTCAAAAAAAATGGATTCATTAATTCCCTTGATGTTCTAAATGAATAATTTCGTTTCATTAAAATATCCGGAGGCATTGTTACTTTTTTGCAATTGATGGGAAAAAAAAAATTTAATTTGCTTTGAAAGTTTAGAATTTCAAGGAGTAAATTTAGAGAAATTTGTTTTATTAATTTTTTTATTTTTCTATCAGTTTTGATTTTTTTTTATTAAATTAATTAATTTATAGTAATTATTATGTCTATTTTATAAATTAGTTTATTTTTCAGAAGAATGGAGAAAATGATGAAAAATAATAGTAGTTAAATTAAGAAATTGAAATAGTAAAAATAATAATAATAAAAATAAGAAATTGAAATTGTAGAAATAAAAAATAAAAATGGTAGGAATATAAAAAATGAAAATAGTAAAAATTAAAAATAAAGATAGTAAAAAAAAGAAATAAAAATTGTAATAATAAAAAATAAAAATCGTAAGAAATAATAATGAAAATTAAATTTGGAAATCAAACGAAATTTGATTTAAAGAATAAAAATTAAATTTGGAAATCAAATGAAATTTGATTTCATTAATTTTGTAATTAATAGTTAATAGTAAATAATAAATTTAATAATAAATTGAAAAAATAAATATATACAAAGTAAACGAAAAATAGAAAAGAAAATTTCCATCTGCGAAATATTTGTGTAAATTTTCCCGTTGGCAAATTGTAGTTTTCATTTAAAGAACAGGTCATTTAAGAGATACTTTCAAGTTTCATTTATAATCGAGTGGTTTTGCAAGTATCTTGGTCATTTGTTCGTGTCAGTTTGAAAATAAAGCAATTTCTCTCTCTATGTGTACCGATATATATATATAAATATACTCGTTTACTTTCAACAGATCCTCCTGAACCGCCTCAAATAGAAGGCTACACCGAAGGGGAAACTCTTCGACGTGGACAGCAAGTTGAGTTGGTGTGCAAGTCTCGAGGTGGCAATCCACCAGCGCAGGTCGTTTGGTTCAGAAATGGAGAGCAAATAAATTCAGCTTACCGCACTGAGGGTCGAACATCGCAGAATATACAAACATTTTTGGCCCAAGCGCAGGACAATAAAGCCCGTTACACTTGCGAAGTCTCAAACATAATGAGCGTTCAGCCCATGAAAGCTCACGTCGATCTCACCGTTCTCTGTGAGTTCCATTTCTCTTAATTTTAATTTTAATTTAATTTAGTTCCTAAATTGTGAATTTCTTGAAATTAAATTTAATTCTCAATTTAAATTCAAATTTAATTCAAATTTTTTATTTTAAATAAAAAGAATTGTGAAATTGTTGTTTTAAATTTAAAAAAATGTAAAATTGTAGTTTTAAGTTTAAAAAATTGTAAAATTGTAGTTTCCAATTTTAAAAATTGTAAAATTGTAATTTTAAGTTTAAAAAAATGTAAAATTATAGTTTTAAGTTTAAAAAATTGTAAAATTGTAGTTTTAAATGTAAAAACTTGGAAAATTGTAGTTTTAAGTAAAAAATAATTGCCACATTGTACTTTTGCTTTTGTATTTGAAAATAATTTACTAATTTCAGGGAAATTTGACGAAAATAATTTTTTTTTCCTCTCATTTTTTGTTTCAGTCGCTCCCAGTGGAGTGAAAATATCCGGACCAACCGAGGCGAAAGCGGAGGAAAAAGTTGTAATAACTTGTACGACGGAAAATTCAAATCCAACTGCGGAAATAAAGTGGACAATAGATAAGCATATTATCTTGAATATGACGTCGAAAACTGAAATTGCACCGGAAGGTGGTTTTATCACCAGTTCTAACGTTACCTTCGCCATTAACAAAGCCGCTCAGAAGGTCGTTGCAATATGCCAGGCACTAAACCAAAAGCTCACTGAGACCATAGTGGGAACACATACAATTAACGTGATTTGTAAGTTCATCCAGATAATGAAATTAGCCTCAGAAATCTTGTTAATTTGTTTAAAATTCCACTGTTCGGTACACAACAGCTACTTTATATAGTAATTAATAAATAAATAGTTTATTTTACATAGTCAACTATTTTGTTGAAGAAATTAGTCATTGAATTATGTAATTAATAATGTAATCATTTCATTAACTATTTAATTAATTACTATAATTAAATTAAAGTGATTTCTTATTTTTTGATTATAATGTTAAATTCGTTTAATTTTAAATTTAATTCATTTTGAGTTTCATTTATTTTCAATTCGTTTAATTTTAAATTCATTTAATTTTAAATTTCATTGATTTTGAATTTAATTAATTTGAAATTCGCCTTATTTTATGTTTAATTGATTCTGAATTTAATGAATTTTAAATAAAAAAAAAACAATTTAAAATTAGAAATTCAGGTACTAAATAATTTTTTTGTTTATTTTATGTGCAGATCCGCCGTCACATTTACGAATCACTGGTTATGAGGAAGGGACGACAATTCAGGCGGGTAACGTTTTAAAATTGGCGTGTTCGGTCACTTCTGGAAATCCACCGCCAACAATTACTTGGTATAAGAACGAGAAGAAGGTACGTAATGAGGTAAATTCGAAATTCTTTTCTACTAATTGTCAATAGTTTTTAGTAGCTCCACAAAACTAACTGGAAGAAATTAGTATTGGGCTTGTAGATAAAAATTTTATCCAATTACGAGGTTTGTGGTTCAGAAAAATTTCCATTTTATCATTGTCATCACTTTAGTGTTTCCCTTTTTCTAATTTATTTCCATTTCTCTACTTTTTTTCTAATTTTATCAATTTTTTTCTATTTTTCTTCCGTTTATTCTATTTTTTGTCCTTTTTGAAATTTTTTTTACTATGTATTTTTTGTCCCATTCCGATATTTTTTGTTCGATTTGAATATTTTTTTTTTCAATTTTTTTATCCAATTTAAATATTTTTTCCGTTCTTTGTTCGATTTGAATTTTTTTTTTTTGTCCAATTTGAATATTTTTTAAAACTTTTTATCAGATTTGAATATTTTTTTTTCTATTTTTTGTATCCGATTTAAATATAAATTTCGTTCACATTTGAATATATTTTCGATAAATTATTTTCAATTTACAATCTATAATATTAGAAATTTTTATTTTTCAATAATTTGGTTATTCGTTGAAATTATCGTAAATTGTAGTTTCAATTAAATTATAATTTATCAGGAGAAATTTCTACCTGAAATCCTCATATATTGATTTTATGTTCATTCCTCTCGCGTCTAATCTCGTCTCATTAAACTATAACCATAAATCTATTTTAGGTTCAAGATACAATCAGGCATCACGAACACATTGTCACAAGTGAACTTGCTCTGGTAATCAACGCCTCGGACAACAACGCTCACATTAAATGTGAGGCGGTCAATTCCGCAACGACATATCCCATGTCACAAAAATTAATTCTAAAAGTTCTCTGTAAGTATTTTACGAAATTTTTATTTTTACGAAATTTTTACTGGATGAAAATAAATTCTCGTTTTTTATTCTTTTCGAATATTTAATCAAATACAGAAGTTAAAATTATAATTGTAATTATAAACGGGCTTGTCCTGTTTATAAATAAATAATTATTTCTATTTTTAATTTTATTTATATTTATATTTTTATTTTTACTTTTATTTCTATTTTTATTTTTATTTTTACTTTTATTCATATATTTATTTTTACTTTTATTTATATTTTTATTTCTATTTCTATTTTTATTTTTACTTCTATTTTAATTTCATTTACTTATTAATTTATAGACGGGAAAATTATTTTTATTTCTTTTTTTTATTCTTACTTTTATTTTTAATGAAAATGTTTGATGTTTTTCGCAGTCCCTCCGGATAAAGTTAAAATAACAACGGATCCAAGATCATTCGAGGCTGGCGGTTCTGGAAAATTGATATGCGAATCAAGTAGCAGTAATCCAGCAGCCGAAATGTCCTGGTGGATGGCTGGAATCCCGGTCGAGGGCACTGAAAACTCAACTAAACCGGGACTCCACGGTGGATACGTTTCAATAGTCACATTGCCATTGGACTTCAAGGAATCTATGAACAATAACGTTTATACATGCCAGGCGAGAAATGCAGCTATGGAGAGGTCCATTCACGACGCAGTCACCCTCAACATTCTTTGTAAGCGATTCTCAATTTCAGTAAACAATTTATCAATTTTTACCATTTTCTTCTTTCCTCCGAAAATTTTTTTTTATTTCCTCTCTGTGTCAATTTTTTCCAAAAATGATTTTAATTACAATTTTACTCACTATTTTATAATATTTTGTTTTTGGATTGAAATAATAATTTGATATTTTATTCAAACAATATATATTTTATTTAAATAATAATATTTTGTTTACAATTTTGAATATTCAATAATTTATTCAAGAAATTTAATTTCAAAATCAGAAATTAACTTTCGAAATAACAATCTATTTTAATAATTTACAAACAACTGAAAGCAATTAGTAAATTAACTTTAATATTCAGTTCATAATTGATAATTTAATTTGATTATTTTCGCACAGCTAGTTTGACAATTTAAATAATGATTTAATATTTTTTTTCTTGTGTTTAGATAAGCCAATTTTCACGAATCCGGAGCCAAGTGAGTTGATAGGAATGGAAAATGAACCGTATATTATAACGTTACAAACGAGAGGGAATCCGGGGAAAATAACTTACACTTGGACACGAGATGGATTACATCTTCCTGACAGAGGGAGGAGAATGACAGCTCGAGGGCCCACCTTGAATATCACGAAATTGGAACGTTTAGACTCGGGAAGTTACGTGTGTGAAGCTATAAATGACAAAGGCGCCACATTTTATCACTTGAATCTAACAGTTCAATGTGAGTTGCAATATTTATTTTTTTCCAAATTTATTTCAAACAATCATTTCAAAAAAGAAGGAATTTTTCAAAATATTTTTTATCTGAACAATTACTCACAATTTTCTTTGAAAACAAAAATTCAATAATTGAATAAATTATTCACATTTTTCTCATAACGTGAAAAAAATTAATAATTTTTTTTCGCAACTTGAAAACAATTAATAATTTTTTTTCGCAACGTGAAAACAATTAATAATTTTTTTTGCAATGTGAAAACGCGTATTTCGAATAAATTTACTCTATTTAAATTTCAAAAACATTGATTTAAATTACAAAAAAAAAAATGTCTCACCAAAAAGGGACTTAATTTAAAATTGAAAAAAATGGGATAATCCCCTTCTTTTTTTCAAGATCCTGCGAAAATTACAAGAACGTCAACATCTGGCGTTATTTATCCACCGGAGAAAGAAGCGAAACTTTTTTGTGAGGTGGATGGCAGTCCAATGGGTGAGGAATATATCACGTGGTACAAAGCTGGAACGAGCATTGAGGTCCTCGGGAAATATTCACTTTCATACGTGAATAAGACGTCGTTTCTTCATATCGAAAATCCAGGAAGAGATGACGTGGGCGAATATCAATGTAATGTCAACAATGGAATTGGAAATGTTACCTCCAGTCCAATATTATTTATCACAAATTGTAAGTTCAACAAAATGTATAATATGCTTTATTTCTAATTTCTGGAGATTTTTTTTTTGTTTCTCAAAAACTGTTTCTATTTTCTATTTTTGAATTTAATTTAATTACAAAATATTTATGATTAAAAAAAAGGAGAGGGGGAATTCTAATTTCCTTTCTTTTGGGTAATTTTCACGGAATTTAAATTCTCATTTGTTGCATGTATTTTCAGTCATTCCGGAAATGGCGAACTCGCCACTGACGAGAAAAGCGGCTGCCGTCAGGGGAGTGAACGCACAGCTTTTTTGTAAAGCACGAGGATCTCCTCTACCGGAATTCTCATGGTTTTTCAATGGAAAACCTCTTTTGCCTAATCTCACTGAATATAAATATGGTTTTACATCAAGTAACGTGAGTATTCAAATTCATTATATTTCGGCGACTAAAAAATTACGTAAAGAGGAGAAATAATTTTCTACTTCTTTTATTTATTTATTTTATTTCTTTCTTTATTTATTTTTTCTTTCTTTCTTTCTTTCTTTCTTTCTTTCTTTCTTCCTTTATTTATTTCTTTCCTCTTTCTTTTTTCCTTTACTTATTTATTTCCTCTTTTCAGTTATCCGAACTCTATTCGCAGTCAGTATTGACAGTGAATCGTGTGACGTCAGAAGATTATGGAAAATATGAGTGTCAAGCTCGCAATAAAATGGGCATGAATAAGGAATTAATTCAATTAGACGTAACGTCACCGCCAGATCAGCCGTCGGATTTGGAAATTTATAATGTAACACACGATTCGGTGATGTTAATATGGAAACGGGGATTCGACGGTGGATTGCCGACTTCGCATCAAATTCGTTGGCGCCAAGCTCTCGACTATGAGAATCGTTATCATTATTTGGATGTGTCGCCGGGAGATTATAAAGCACTTATCACCGGTCTCTCATTGGGGACTTACTATGTCTTTAGCATTAAAGCCATGAATTCGAAAGGCGAAAGTGCTTTCCTGCCGGATCTAGTCAAAGTTCAAACATTACGTGAGTACTTTTGACAAATTTCTAATTACTAATTTACAATTAGTCTATCCAGTTTTTTTTTTTTGTAGTCACACAAAATTATTAATTAGTATCTGATAAACAAATAGTAATTGATTAGTATTAATAAAAAAAAATAGTAATTGATTAGTATTAATAAAAAATAGTAATTTATTAGTACCAGGGCTCAAACCACTGAAAGTATTCAAAATACGGACTTTGCGGACCAAAAATGAAAAATTATGGACCGAAAATTCTTCTTTAAAACAATTATTTTTAATAATTTTTGACAAAGTTCTTTGAGAACTTTCAAATCCAATTCTTCAATGAAATAAATTAGAAAATAAAAACTTGAAATAATTTCAGAAAAAATTGAATTGGACTTTTTCAATAAAATTAATTCTACAAAATTGTTAGTAAAGAGGTATGAAAAATTCAAATTTTCCAAGATTTTAATTCGAAACCTTTTTAAAATTCAATTATTTCTAAAAATTCACGTTATAATACGTTTTTATTGAATTATTATCTAAAATTTTAACTGAAATTTATTTTTAAATCAATTTTTATTTGAAAATTCTACGAGAATTCAATTATTTAAATACAACAATAAGAAAGAGAAAGAAACATTCAAGTATTCGATAAATTATTATTTATTGAATAATTGAATTTTTCTTAGCATTGAATTCACATAAAGAATTTTATCAACAGATTTTTAAATAATTTAATTATTTTGACGAACTTTAATAAAATTTCCAAAAATAATTGCATTTTTTAAATCAATTTAAAATTGTATTAAAAATAATTTAAATTAAATTAATTAAATAATGGAATTCATGTGAAAGTTTTATTACAATTTTTAAAAATAAATGAATTCTATCAACAAATTTCGTTAAATTTTTTAAAAATAATTCAATTCTTTTAGAAAAATTTTATTTAAATAGTAGATATTGAAAATAATTGAATGTCGACAAATTTTTGAAATTAATTAAATTTCTACGAAGAATTTTAGTAATATTTTTTGAAAATAATTCAATTGTTATGAAGAAATTCAGTAAAATTTTTAAAAATACTTTAATTCTATTAAGAAATTTTTTTAAAAATGTTTTAAAAATAATTATTAAACTCTAAGAAACAAAATTATATCAACATTTTTTTAAATAATTGAATTCTTTTGAAGAAATTTAATTACATTTTTGAGAATAATTACAGTTTTTCGAAGAATTAATTTAAAATTGTATTAAAAGTAATTGAAATCCTGCTATTGGTTTTATTTACTTATAAAAATAATTGAAATCCTGCCATGAATTTTATTAGTTATGAAAATAATTGAATTTTTTCAACGAATTTTTATTAAAGCTTTTAAAAATAATTGAATTCTTGCAAAAAATGTTATTAATTGTTTTAAAGAATTGAACACTTGAAAAGAATGTTATTAAAATCTTTTTGAAATAATTGATTTTTAACGAAAAATTTTATGACAATTGTGTTTTAAATAATTGAATTCTATTGAAAAATTTATTATTTATGAAAATTGTGTTTTAAATAATTGGATTCTATTGAAAATTTTATTATTTATGAAAATTGTGTTTTAAATAATTGAATTCCATTGAAAATTTTATTATTTATGAAAATTGTGTTTTAAATAATTGATTTCCATTGAAAATTTTATTATTTATGAAAACTATGTTTTAAATAGAATTTTATAAACGTTTTTAAAAATAATTGAATTCCTGAGAATAGTTTTATTATTTATCAAAATAATTGAATGTTTGCGTAGAATTTTATCAAATTTTTTTTTTTAAATAATTGAATTCTATTGGAAATTTTCATTAAAATAGTAGATATAAAAAATCATTGAGTTGATGAAAATTTTTGAAAATAATTGAAATTTTGCCAAGAATTTTATTAAATTTTTTTTAAATAATTGAATTTCGAAGAAGAATTTTATTATTTATAAAGATAATTGAAATTTTGACGCGAATTATTAAAAATTTTTGAACATAATTGAATTTTTGCAAAGAATTTTATTACTTTTGAAAATAATTGAATTTCTGCAATCATTTGAAACTTCTCCGAAATTCTCCAAATTATTGCATATAATTTACGAATTTTGTGTACTTTTTCAAACCAATTACGGACTTTACGGACGTTTTTTCAAAAAAGCTGACTTTTACGGACTTCAAGTAAATTTACGGACCTTGTTCGAGCCCTGTAGTATTAATAAAAAATAGTAATTAATTAGTATTGATAACGAAATAGTAATTGATTGGTATTAATAAAAAATAGTAATTAATTAGTATTAATAGTATTATAGAAATATGTCTAGAATATCGATATTAATATTTGCCTTCTTTTCAATGCAACAAAAATATTCACATATTCATAATAATCACATATGTTCGAGAATTAGTAGCACTATTTTTTCTTTTTTTTTCATATCACGTCTATCTATTTCACGTAAATGTTACACTTTCTAGAATCATAAACAATGTCTTGCACGATTACATTCGTTCTCATACTAAATCATCGCCGATTCGCAAAATTAACCCATAAAGCTCTAAATTACAAAAGGGTATTCTCGGGTTTATAATCAATTTTTCACCTAGTTAGCGAAGAGAAATAAAATTTAGTTTTCTGGGTCGAGGGAAATTTTATTTTCCTCTCGCACAAAAACAAAAGTACAGTGTAAACAATAGTTGAATTTATTTAGACTTGAAAAAATGAAAATCAAATGTTCAAACAATTTAGAGAAAAAATTGAACTAATAAATAATTTTCAATTAGTGGAAAAAAAATGATACAGTGGATACTGAAATAATTTTATGAAAATATACGTCTATTAAGAGGAGTTTTATTGAAAAGTAATTATTTTGGGTAAATTGTTGGAAAATTAATCTAGTGGATTAGTGAGTGAACTAACGAATTAGTGACGCATTGCATGAAATAACATCAGGGTGATGGGGCTATTGGCTTGGGTTACAGGTGAAGCGCCACCCACTGAGTTGACAGTCAGCGAGATTAATTCCTCCTACATGATCATCATTATCATCGCTGTTTCCGTCTCTGCTTGTCTCGCCATTGCTACGCCCATAGTTTATACTTCATTAGTGTCAAAAAAGAAGGCTCAACGTGCCGGTAATTATCATCATTCATTACTATCGTTTTTTTTTCTTTTCCATTTATCTAGGGCCCAATAATGCCGAGAATGTACCCGAAGTCCTTTTGGAAAGAAGTGACATTCCACTCAATTATATCTATACAGTAGCAGCAACTTCAATCGTCTTTTTTATTATTAATCTCTTCGTCATGTTGTGGTATATAGTCAGAAAGAGAAATAAAACTCGTAAGTAAAACTCGTAACTCTAAATATTGATCATCGTTGACAATTTTCTCTCCATTTCTTTAAATTTTGATTTTAATTTCTTGAATTTACTATATGGTTAATTACATTTCACCTGGAGAGGTATTTTTTTTTTTTTTTTTTTGGAACTGTAAAAGTGAAGAGACACTCTGCATTCATTAATTAGCTAATTAAGTAACTAATTACTCAGTCTAAACTGAATGTCAATGTTGGAAGAGTTGTCTGGGATCATTTTCCCGCACAGAGGCTGTCTAGTTATTTATTAATTAATTAATTAATTAGAACAAGGGAAGTGTCAATATAAAGAGAATTGTTTGCTGAATTCTAATAAAGGGACTGTTCAAAGTAATAAATTATTGTTTTAGTTTAATTTTATGGTTTGTAATCGATATTTGTGTTTGGCGACTTTTTTTTATTGAATACAAATACAAACTTTAGTTGTTAATTGGTTTATTAAGTAATTATTTGGAAGTAAATGAAGATTCAAATTGAATAGAGAGTTTCAGTTAGCTGTTAATTAATTATTTTGCATTAGAATGGAATAAATACTTTTGAGTTAAGAGAACTAATTAAAAGAGAAGAATTAATTAATATAAGAGATAAATTGTTAAATTAGATTAATAATTAATTTAGTTTAATAATTATTATTGTAAACTATTATTATTTTCAATACAATTTCAATTAAATTTCACAAAAGAATTCAACTCTTTTTAAAAAATTTGATAAAATTCTTCGCAAAAATTCAATTATTTTGAAAAATTTTGTTTAAATTCTTTATGAGAATTGAAATACTTTTAATACAATTTTAATTAAATTCCTCGAAAAAATTCAATTATTTTTAAAAATTTTAAATAAATTCATAACAAGATCTTAATTATTTTCATAATTTATTAAATTTTTTGCAGGAATTTAATTATTTAAAAAAATTTTTTTTATAAATTTTATAGCAAAAATTTTATAATTTTGAAAAATATCAATAAAATTCTTTAGAGGAAAAAAATTTAATGAATTTTAATAAAATTCTTCTCAAAAACTCAATTATTTTAAAAAATTTAAATAAAATTCTTTATAAAAAAAAATTTAATTCTTTTACTAAATAACAAAATTTTTCGCAGAAATTCAATTATTATGAAAAATTTGTATTCAACTCTTTATTATAATTGAGAAATTTGAATTTTAATTAAATTTTTAGCAAGATTTCAATTAATATCATAATTTATAAAAATGTTCTGCTCAAAAACTCAATTATTTTGAAAAATATCAATAAAATTCTTTATAAGAAAAAAATTTAATTAAATAAATTGAAAAAATTTAATTCTTTTACTAAATAACAACATTTTTCGCAAAAATTTAATTATTTTGAAAAATTTGTATTCAACTCTTTATTATAATTAAAATATTTTCAATTTTAATTAAATTCTTAGCAAAATTTCAATTATTTTCATAATTTATAAAATTTTTCGCCGAAATTTAATTATTTTAAAGAATTTTAATAAAATTCTTTTCAAAAACGCAATTATTTTGAAAAATTTGTATTCAAATCTTTATAATAATTGAAATATTTTCAATTTTAATTAAATTTAATTATTTTAAAGAATTTTAACAAAATTTATCGCAGAAACTCAATTACTTTGAAAAATGGCAATAAAATTCTTTATAAGAAAAAAATTTAATTCTTTTTCTAAATAACAAAATTTTTCGCAGAAATTCAATTATTTTGAATAAAACTCAATTACTTTAAAAAATGTCAATAAAATTCTTCATAAGAAAAATATTCAATTAAGTACTTTGGAAAAATGTAATTCTTTTTCTAAATAATAAAATTCTTCGCTGAAATTAAATTAGGTTTTTAAAAATTTTAGTAAATTTCTTTATAAGAATTCACTTATTTTTAATACAATTTTAATAAAATTCTCACTAATGATTTAAATTATTTTTATAATTTAATAAAATTTCTCGAAAGAATTCAAATATTTCAAAAAATTTGATAAAATTCTTTAAAAGAATTTAAATATTTTTAATATTATTTTAAGTAAATTTCTCATTAGAATTAGCTTATTTTTAAAAGTGTTAATTAAATTATTGCCAAAAATTTGGATAAATTTCTTTTTAAGAATCCCATTATTTCAGATTACTGGAAGACAATGAATAGATTATTAAATTAAATTAATAATTAATTTTTTTCATAGGTTAATTAGGTAATTTTGAATTATAATTTGCTAAATTACGAAATTAAATTGATTAAACTAATTGAATTTGTAAATTTAATTAATTAAATTATTAGAAAATAATGAAATAATCAAGAAAAAATGATAGAATAACAATTCAGAGTATGATGAATATGTTATAAAATTTGGCAATTTCTCGTTAATTTAAACATCTTATTAATTGAAATTTTCGAATATTAATTGAAATTTTTTTTTCTTTTTACAGTAATTAATTTAATTTAATTTATGTAATTTAAATTTATTTAATTTAATTTATGTAATTTAAATTTATTAAATTTATTTTATTTAATTTATGTAATTTAAATTTATTAAATATATTTTATTTAATTTATGTAATTTAAATTTATTAAATTTGTTTAATTTAAACATCTAATTAATTGAAATTTCCGAATAATAATTGAAATTTTTTTTTCTATTTACAGGAATAAATAAATCGCATACGGCAGATATGTACGCGCCATCAACAGTGAATGGCGACACGATAACCGGTGAACTAAGTTCAGTATCGGATGAGAAGAGTGACGTGAATTTCGACGCAAATGATTACGTGGTCAGTGCGATCAGTCAGTATGTTCTTAGTAACAAGTAATTCCGGAGGGTAGGTTTGTGTTCTGTTAACCCTTTTCTGTTTCCTCCCAAGTATACTTTTTTAATTTCCTCCGGTCTTTTTTTTAAACAAAATTCTACCCTCTCCACATCCTTAATCCAATTTTTCTGTTTTTTTACTTTTTTTCAATTAGTCGTTTCGAGAGAAACACAATGATCGTCAGCATAATATTAATTATGCCTAATTAACTAATTTTAATTAGTTGAATATTTAATTTTAATTTTAATTTTTATTCTAATTTTAATCATTTATTCAAATTTTCATTATTTATTTTAATATTGATTCGATCGATATTTATTCGATTGATATTTATGCGGATCGAATTGATTATTTTATTGAATAAATTTTTTTTATCAACTAATAATAATTCTAAGGGGGGTTTTTCTATTTTTAAGAAATAATTCTTGTTGACAATTATACTGTAACTTGTTTTTTTTTTTGCAATTTTTTATAGGATGAAGGACGAAAGACGGCAGCTAGTACCTATTTAATTGATTCTGGTATTCAGGACTATGGGAAAAGTAGTTTAGAAATGCAGGTGCATCATCAAGGTACTTTAAGTCGTCGTAATCATGTTCCTAGTGTAATGAATATGGATTCACCGCCACAACGAACGACAGCAAGCGGTACACTCTCGGGTGCGTCATCTACAACTGCTACTCATCTCGAGAATAGGTGCCAAAAAAAAACCTCTCAAGTTTATCGCTCTTTGTGTCTTCTCACGTTGGCCAAATTCGTTATCTCTTCTTCTATATCAAAATCGGAGAAAAAATTTTTATTAAAATACTAACATTAACAGTGAAAATAATATTCAAATTTTCCAATTTAACAAATTGTTTTTATATTTTCGAAACATTTTTGTTTTATTTTTGTTCAAAAAAGTACTTTTTTAAACATTAATTTTGAAAGTACTGGAATTTGTTTTCTTTTTTACAGAGTTATCTCTTTTTTTGTTGATGACAGACTGTAGAATGAATTTATGATGAAATGTTAAATATTTTGACACAGTTTTGAGAAATGCCTTTTTTTGAAGCATGATTGTTTTTAATATAATATTTACTTTTATAATCCAATTCACACAGAAAAAAAATAATGCATGGCACTTGGCATGCAAAAAACGCAGATAATGTTCATTCACTCATTCATCAATCATTCGCAGTCTGATCATTTATTTTTGTTTGTTAATTATTATTCTCTTTGAATGTGTAATGTGTCATTAACACGATTCATTCATTGTTTAAATTTTGTCCAAAAATTGCAATAATTAACAAATTATTTTCGACAGATGAGATTGAATTAATTTTTCAATATTATTGTTTGGAAATTGTAAAAATTCATTTTAGTCATTATTTGGCATGAAGAATTTATAAAGATATGGCAACAACGGGAGGCACGTGAGCTGAAAAATGCTTGTGGGGTTTTTTGTTTAATTATGCATGTCTGTTTTGTTAGAAAATGGCATTTCTGTCTATCATCTAGCATTACGACAAGCACTTTTTTAAGCACCATTAACTTTTTTCATTTCATTCTTTTTCTTTGGTTTCTAAAGAAAGTAAATTTATTGAAAAATTACATTTTCTAATTAAAATCACCCAAATTAATAATTTAAATCATCAATTGTAAAATTGCAGGTCTCGGATTGATTTAAAAGCGCAAAATATTAATTATTTTCATGAATTATTCACTAAAACTTTCTCTATAAATTAATTATTTTTAATAATTTTCTGAAAATTTTTTCAGAAATCAATTATTAAAAAACAAGATTATCTTTAATAATAATTGTGACTACAATGCTTTATAATTTGATTTATTGAAAATTTATAACTAAAAATATGGAAAATAATTAAATTTTTTAAAAATATACTAAAAAATTTTTAAAATTAGGTTTTTAAAAATATTTTGAAATCATTTTTGAATGATAATAGATTTTCCAATTAAATGATTAAAAAATTCACAAATAATTGAAGTTTAGTAAAATTTATTCTCAATAATTGAATTTTTTATAAGAATTTTTGAAAAATAGTAAAAAATAATCAAGTTATTGAAGAATTTTTATAATAAATATAAGAATACATGATTTTTCACAAAATTTTTCATAATGAGGCTAAAAAGTTGATTTTTTAAAAATTTTAATTTACATTTTTTAAAGAAAATTGAATTTTAAATAATTGTGGTAAAAAATTCTAAAAATTAGTTCTTCAAAAATATCGTAATGTAATTTTTCGGAATTAATTGAATTTCTAAACAGAATTTTTGTACATTATATCATTTTTCGAAAATAAATAATTGAAAATATGGAAAATAATTGAATTTTAAAAAATTGTAGGTATTAAAAAAATTATATAAGAATTATTTTTTTAAACAATTTTTTAATACATTTTTTTTAAGATAATTTTTATTTTGATTTCTTCTTAAAATTTTTGATAATTCAATTATTTAAAAAATTTACAATTACAATAATTGTCAAATTTATTATCTAAAGATTTTAATAAAATGCTTCAAAAATAAGTTATTTTCAATAAAATTTTACAAAATTTTAATTAATTTAAAAACATTTTAATTAGATATTTTAAAAATAATTGAATTTCTTGAAAAAATTGTTACAAAAATTTTTAAAAGTAATCAATGTTTTGGAGAATTTAAATGTTTTAAAATTATTGTCAAAAACATTAGATTTTCTAGACAATTTTAATGTAATCTTTTTATAAACATTACACTTTTATGGAAAAATCTAATATAAAATATTGAAAGTAATTTAATTATTTAAAAAATTATAAGAATTACTTTTTTAAAATAATTTCTTTATAACACTTTTTCAAAAATAATTTTCATTTTGATTTTTTATTAAAATTTTTATGAAATGCTTTAAAAAATCAATTATTTTTAATAAAATTTTAAAAAATATCAATTAGTTGTAAACTTTTTGATTACATATTTCAAAAACTTAATTTTCTTAGAAAAATTAATTTTTGAACAATTTAAAAAACTAATAAACTTTTTTTGTTTAATTCTAATTAAAAATTCTTTTTAAATAATTGTTTTCTTCAAAATTTTACTAATAATTTTAAATAAATAAGATTTTTTTGAACAATTCTAATGCAATTAAGTATTTCTTGTCGTTATTTTACTTTTCGGAAATTTCTAATTAAAAATATTGAAAATAATTGAATTTTTTGAAAAATTATCAGAATTACTTTTTGAAAATAAATTCTCACTTTTTTTTAAGAGCTAATTTTAATTTCAATTTTTTTTTAAATTTTTGAGAATTCAATTGTTTTTAAAATTTGTAATTAAAATTTTTCAAACTTTGTACCTAAAGCATTTTAATAAAAAGCTTAAATTCAAGTATTTTCGATAAAATTTTACAAAATTTCAATTAGTTAAATACTTTTTAATCATATATTTCTGAAATTTAATTTTACATATTAGAAAAATTAATCAAAAATAAATTTTGAAATATTTGACTATAGTATTTTTTTACTTTTCAATTTTTACTTATAAAAATTCAAGGTAATTTACTTTTTTAAATTTCTTACAAGAATATTTCAACAATTTACAAAATTAATCAATTTTTTTGTTGAATTCTAATTGAATTTTTTTTAAATAATTGTTTTCTTTAAAATTCAATTCTTCACAATTCTAATGTAATTAAGTATTTCTTGTCGATATTTTACTTTTCGGAAATTTATAATTAAGAATATTGAAAATAATTGATTTTTTTGAAAAATTATCAGAATTACACCTTTTGAAAATAATTTCTCACTATATTTTTTTAAAAGCTAATTTTAATTTTAATTTCTTTTTAAAAATTTTAAGAATTCAATTGTTTTTAAAATTTGCAATTAAAATTCTTCAAACTTTGTTTCTAAAGAATTTTAATAAAATGCTTAAAAAATCAATTATTTTCTATAAAATTTCACAAAATTTCAATTCGTTAAAAACTTTTTAATCGTATATTTCTAAAATTTAATTATATTTTTTACTTTCTATTTATTCGATTTTTATTAAATAAAATTCGAAATAATTTGCAATATACACCAAAAAAAAGTTGAATTTCGTTGCAATATTTGAAAAGAATTGTCGAAAAGTTTCTATTTTTTGAATATTAGTCGAAGAAAGTCTTCAATTTTTGAAAATAAATCTTTCTGAAAATTAGTGAAATAAAGTTTAAAAAGTCGAAATATCCGAGATTTGAAATTTTAATATTCTTTTTCCTACATTGTAAATTTTGTTGTTGTCTAAGATGAAATATTTTTGTAAAATTTCAGCCTCGAAGTCGAGTTATATAGGGAATCCGAGCCCAGCCCCACCTTCCGAAGTAAACTTCTACAGTGTGGAGATGGACAATGGCCTCTTTATGGGATATGAAGTTGACTCAAGCCCGGGCCCAATGATGGGGGATCCGGGTCCGGGTGCCTATTATCCTTCCCTAGGATCCGTCGGACACATGGGTCCATTAACGACAGTGATGCCAGGCACGGGGACGTTAAATCGAAACAGGACACTTCCGCGTCCAGTCCCCCCCCCAGACGTCACTGTTATGACTGCAGGAATAAAGTCGCAACTACCGCCTTCGGTACCCCCCCCGCCAGCTACATTTGCACGTGCGGCCCACATCCCCGTCAATTCCCACGGGCACCCATTGTCAACTTTCACATCGACACCAACATATTCTGATATCGATGGTCATCTTGTCTGAAACATGGACACATTACGATCAAGTAAGAAGAAGAAAGTATCCACCTGTCCCTCTGATTATAATGGGGAAATAACTCTCAGTCCGGAAGAGTGCACTCGCCTATAGTAAGAAAAAAAAAAGAAAAAGATTGTTTATATCTTTTAAGTCAGTGGTGATCCCTCCTTCGCTATTAACAAGAAAAAAAAATTATTATTACATATAAATTTTAAGCATTAATACACAATTCATGCGAGACGATTTCAAAAATCGATCAATCTCAAATTAATTGTGTGTCACTCTGTATATTTTGTATAGAAGATAAAAAAAAATACTCTTATATTCGTTTTGTATAGGAAACTACGTTAGGTGTAAATGATAAACGGTTATTTTACCTGTGACAATCTCAGTTAATGCAGTCATTACAAATTTTTTTATTATTCTCGAATATATTTATTATTTTGATAAATATTTTTGTTTTATTTTATTTTCAATTTTTTTTTAATGTTATTTATTTTTTAATTTTATTTTATTCTTGTATTTTTTGTTTCTATTTTGATAGTTTTTCTAAGGATATCAAATTGAGATAAAAAACGAATCAAAACGTTGCTTCGCTTCGCAACACTTTTGATTCGTTTTTTGTCTCAATTTGATAACCTTAGAAAAAATGCTATTTTTATTACATTCAATTTTATTATTAATTTTAAATTCTTTCTATTCTATTTTTAATTTTAATTTCTTTCAAATTTACTGGAAAAAAATTATTTTATTGAAATTACCAATTGACCTAACAAGTAAATATTTACTAGAATCAATCAATTTTTATTTAAATTAATTCAATCGTATTTGCTTCAAATAATGAAATTATTGGTTCAAGTAGAATTTATTTGATTTAAATAAAAATTATTTAATTTATTGCCTATTATCAAACAAATATTTACTTGAATAAAACAATTTTTATTTAAATCAATTAAAATTTTCTTCAAAATACTAAAAGTAATGGTTCAAATAAAAATTTGATTTAAACAAATAAATATTTGATTTAAATAAAAATTATTTGATACAAGTAAATATTTATTTTTCTGAAAAAAAATATTTCATTCAAATAATTTATTGTCTATTATCATATAAATATTTACTTGAATAAAACAATTTTTATTTAAATCAATTAAAATTTTCTTCAAATACTAAAATTAATGGTTTAAATAAAAATTTGATTTAAATAAATAAATATTTTATTTAATTGAAAATTATTTGATTCAAGTAAATATTTATTCTTCTGAAAAAAAATTATTTTATTCAAATAATTTATTGTCTATTATCAAAAAATATTTACTTGAATAAAACAATTTTTATTTAAATCAATTAAACTGTATTTGCTTGAAATACTAAAATTAATTGTTAAAATAAAAATTTGATTTAATTAAAAATTATTTAAATGAAAAAAAAATTATTTGATTCAAATGACCAATTACTTGCCTATTATTAAATAAATATTTACTTGAATCAAACAATTTTTATTTGAATCAATTAAATTGTATTTGCTTCAAATACTGAAATTCTTGGTTCAAAAAAAATTTATTCGATTTAAATGAAAATTATTTTAATTAAATAAAAATCATTTTATTCGAGTAAAAATTATTTTATTCATGTGAATATTTATTTCACTGAAAAAAATTATTTTTCTCAAATAACGAATTACTTGTCTATTAATAAATAAATATTTATTTGAATTAAACAATTTTTACTTAAAGCAAATACCACTTAATGTGTAAAAAAATATTTCTTTTGGAAATTTTCCCATTTTATCGATTTAAATAATAATTATTTGATTCAAGTAAATATTTCTTTCACTGAAGAAAAAATTATTTGATTCTAATAACAAATTTTTTACTATCAAATAATAAATATTTACTTGAGTCAAACAATTTTTATTTAAATTAATTAATTTGCAATTAAAGAAAATAGCATTTAATGTATAAATAACTTATTTCATTGAAAATTTTACCATTTAGTCGATTTAAATAAAAATTATTTGATTCAAGTAAATATTTAGTTGATAATAGACAAGTAATCAATTAATTGAATAATTTTATTATTATTGAATTATTTTGATTATTTTTGATTATTTTATTTTATTGAATAATCAAATAATTTTTTTTCAGTTTTATTTTACTCTAATAATTTATTTTATTTCTTATATTTCTTATATTTCTTCTATTTTACTCTATTTTGTTTTTATATCTTCTTATTTTAATATTAAAAAACATGATTTTAAATACAGTAAAAAAACTATTTGTGTAACACTTGTGAAAAACAGTTTTAATGCACTTTATTTTTTTGAACATTTTGAAATTTCGCGCCATAATGCGCGTAATGTACTTCATTTGACTAACGTAGTCTCGTAGTCAGTAGGCAAGATGGCCGCCATCGGGTACACGCGCTGTTCACGTAACACGTTTTTTATCGATTAATTTCAATGAAATCTTGTTCTAAAAGTTTCTAAATCAACTAAATTATCGATCGGGATGCAAAAAGTGATTGATTTCAGTAAATATGCCCGTTCCAGGGTGCAAGATGTACACGCACAATCGAATTTCACACAGTCGAACAATGAAACCGAACAAAGTTTCCCAACAAAGGTATTGTGATTGTCAATTATTGTTTTCGGAGTAGGGTGAAAAAAAGTGTTTTTTTTACAAGCGTTACACGAAATATTTCCTTACTTATTATAATACTTGGCGCATAATATAAAATTTTGATCTTTTTTTCGACTTTTTTGACAAAGTTTGTCACAGGTAAACCACCTTAAGTGTTACGATTCCAACAGAATCGAAAAAAAAATTCATTCCCCAATACAATTGAACTTTTTTCAAAACGAAATTTCCATTTATTTTAATTCTTTACTTTTTTTGATACTATACAAAAATGCCATTCCCATTTTTTTTATTTCCCATGGATTATGAATCCATTTTTTTTTTGAGGTTATAATCGATTTATCAGTGCTTGCTATTACTATTGATATAAATATTTTTGAATATTTAGTTCATAAGTTGTATAAATGTAATAATTTTCATTGTTTATAAAATTTCCTGTTATTAAATATTTTAGAATGCGTAGAAATATTATTTGTTACTGGAATAATTTCCAAAAAAAAAGAAACTTAACAATAAGAGAATAACAAGCACTGAATTTTGTTTTTGATATTCTTAAAGTCAATATTAACTACGAAATTATAAATCTGATCTAAATCTAGACTTTTTGCCTTTTATCCAAAGTGTATATCAAATTTTACTTCCCCAAGTGACGAAAAAAAAGTAAAGGCTTTAAAAATATCTGCATTTATTCTGCACAAAGTTAAAAAATAATTTTTTCCTTTTTTACAAAAATATAAAATAAAAGACTCGAAAGTGATTGTCGCTGTACGACATCTTTGAAAAGACAATAGCTCGTAAGTTTTGTTGTGATGATTTTTAGTTTAATAGTATATACTCTCTCAATTTGGCAAAGCCAATTGGAAGTTATACTCACTAACAAATTTTTAAATATTGCAAAAAAAAAAAAATAAGAGAAAGACGATAATTTAGCTTCACTGAATATTTAATAAATATTTTTACATTAATTTTTTCGTTGAAACTTTAAAATCCATGTAAATATTTATAATGAAAATGATATTAATTCGTATTTCGATATTTCTCACACTCGGCAACTAATTCAAATGGATCATATGAGGGTCTCACTAATGCTGTAGCCTATTTAAATAATTGAAAGAATATGTGCTGATAAAAAAATGTTTTTAGAATTTAGTATGTAAAAATTGTTCGAATTTATTGAGAATGAGACGTGTTTCCGTTTGTTGAAAGCCTAAGTAGTTGAAATATATTTTTGAAAATGAAAAACCGAAAAATATATTCTCTATGTTTGGCCTATTTAAAGACATTATTTTTTAAGCAGGTAACACACTGTAATTTTAATTTCTTAAATTTACCGACTGAATATTTTAACTGTGCGAATTTTTTTTTACTTTTTTGTATACAAAATTTTTTTAAAATGTTTTTTAACGATTATAATGATTTTTAATTTTTGAAACGAAAAAGGAGAAAAAAAGTGTGTTATTTGCTTAAATGTGTTTAAAAAAAAATTTGATAAGCCGTGTTTACGTAGCGTATGCCATTGTTGTTTGATTATTGTCCTGATGATTTGTTATACGGTAGGAGTTTAACAAGCTTAAATGTGTATTGTTATCTGCTGTTACGTGTGGAGCCGCGGAGACCGGCTTAGACTGATGACATAAAATTAAACGTATGCTCAATTAGAGGACATGTTCGCGCATAATTAAGAATTCTATTTACATATACATGTTTTATATTTGTAATTAAAAAAAAAAACAAAACAAAAATCATCTAATCTTAAATATTACCTGAAGAATTATTAGATAATTATGTAATCTCCAAAGTATTTGCTCATCAAAGTGCTAAACTTATTAAAAAAGAAAAAAGAGAGGAATAAAAGGACCGTTATTCGTCCAAAAAAAATGGTACCTTGGAGATGGACATACCATCTAGCCGCACGATATTTCATATTTTACATAATAACTCATAATTCCGTTGATTATTCTAAGACATAGTCAATCCTAATTAAACAATCACTAAAAATATGACATTGAATTAATTGACGTAATTTTTGTATATATTGTACATAATTTCTAGATAGATATGAAATTAAATACATTACGAATTATATCAACTGCGGGGAGGAGTGTAACAAAAAAAAAATCGAGAGCTTTACTAAACATGTCGCTATTTCTATTATTTTAAACTTGTTCGAAAAAAAAAAATTCACTCACTAATGGTGATGAAATTTTTTCCATTTTTCGCTAAAAATTCTTTCCCTCATTTTTGACTGCCAAGGGAAAAGAATAAATTTTCTCCAAACAAATAGAAAATAGAATTCAAAAAATCGAAAACGAAAAATACTGCCGAAGAATTACGAATTATTTAAGTAAAGCATAAAATTGAGTAAAAATATAAATACAATACTATAAAATGAAGTGCAAAAAAAAATTTTCTTGTGCCAAAAAATCGAAAATTACCATCATCACGATTGTTGAGTGGAAAAAAAAAGAAATATTCACGTTTTTGTAAAGAAATAAAGAAAAAAGCTCCTCGATCGATGTAATATATATTTAAAAAAAAATCAATCGCACATTAATTGTACATATAAATAGTATTTTTACATTCTAATTCTAAATTCAAATTCCAAATCTAAATGGTACTCTGTGTGCTTCGCCTGTCGTCTTTGCACTACTGAATGAGATTATAAAAATTTTCATCGCCAGAATGAAATTATAAGTCAAAAAAATTTATAATTATTCAAAAAAAGAAAACGAGCACATGTTGTACGATTCTCATAATGCGTTTACATTTTTTGCAAATAACATTTTTCTCAATAATGTACTTAAGTGTATGTATTTAAATTATTGCGACGCGCAGCGAACAATGATTCGTTGAAAAAACAAACAAAAAATATTTTCCATTTTTTGCTGCGAAAATATATATATATTGTATATTTTTGTAAGTCCCGCAAGTTTTCCTTATAACAAAAGGAATTCTATAATAGTGATCTCAAAATACTTTAGAATTTTTAATAAGCAGTCGTAGTGAACTTTATTTGTAACAAGTTTTTGTTTCAATTGAAAGAAATTTTTGACATTTTGACAAATTTTTGGCAAGAAGCTGAAAAATCTGATAATTTTAGTTTGAAAAAGAAAGAATCGAAAAAAATTGTGCTTATAAACTGAAAGATTTTATTAGAGAAAAATTGATTTGCTTTCTATCTACAAAATGATATGTAAAAATTTGCTGGATTTGTAAATTTAAAGTTAAATTTTGTTCAAATATTTGCAATTTTTAATATTTTGAATTTGTAAATAAAATGAAAAATAATGTAAATTAAACATTTTTATTTAGTTAAAAACAAATGATTCTAAAGTTCTGAGTGTTCACATGAACGAAATATTTTAATTTTTATTACAATAATATAGTTTTTAAGTATGTAACTTTTAATTTTTATTGCAGTCAGTAATTTGTAATTTAATTTTTAATGAAATTTTTAAATTTATAATTTTTTATTTTTATAAAAAATATTTCGATTCATTGAATTTTTTTTTAATTAAATTCATTTGAACGATTAAATTCATTTCAAAACTCGTAGATCATAAAATTATTTTTTTTAATATACACAGAATAAATTTTTTTTAATAAAAATACAAATTAAATAAAGTAAGAAAAATATCGTCGATCATTTGAACATTTTGAAAGATTAGAAACATAAATTTTTGAACGTTCACATGAACGACAATATTTTTTGTTTACTTATTTTAATTTGTATTTTTTCGCAAAAAAAAATTATTCTACAATTTAAAAAATTATTTCTTAATTAAGAAAATGTTTAATTTTTTATTATCTTCCTTCTTTGGATTTAATAAAATTTTTAAATATTCTGTAAATTAAATATTTTCAAAAATTTTTAAGCAGAAACAAAAATTTCCTTCACTTGAACGTTCAAAACTAGAAAAAAGAATTTTTTGGAAAAATTTGAACAGTGTACAGAAAAAAAAAAATTTCCATTTTATATGATCCTAAAGTTCTGAACGTCCGAATGAAGGAAATTTATTTGTCTTCTTGAAATTAAATTTTTATTGCAATAATTTTGTTTCACTATCAAAAAAAGTTATTTATTAAAATTTCTAGATGTAAAATTTGAACTTTTTAACTTTTATTACAGTCTGTGATTTTTGAAAATATTTTCAATGATAAATATTTCGTTCGTTCGAATGTTCAAAACTTTTTATTTAAATTTCCTAAATTTTATAGTTTCATAATAAAATACAAAGCTTCTAAATTTGAAAATGCTCAAATTCAAGAAACTATTATAATAATATTAGCTAAATTTTTCCAGCTAATTGTACACTCTAAATGTAAAAAAAAATATGGAAAATCGTTCACGAAAATTAATAGTGATAAAAATTTGTGTTTTTGAAATTTATAAATCTAAATATAAAAATTTAATGATTGTTGGATATCAGTATGTTGCTCATTAACGAAAAAAGAGAGAAAGAAAGAAAAAAAGAGTGAAAGAGAGAAAAAAGAGAGAAAGAGAAAAAAGAGTGAAAGAAAGAGAAAAGAAAGAGAAAAAGAAAGAAAAAAAGAAAGAAAAATAGGAAGATAGAAAGAAAGAAAGAAAAGAAAGAAGGAAAGAAAGAAAGATAGAGAAAAAGTTATCGAAAGAATGAGAAATAGAGAAAAAGAGAACATTTTTCAAAGTACGTATGCACGGAGGCAGAGTGAAGCTCAACACGCTAGTCCTTAATTTAAAACCAAAGTAAAAAAAAAACTAATTGAAAATTACGTAGTTTGTAAGAATCTCCATTAAGTATATACACTTTTTGTGTCTATACAAAAAAAAAAATAAATAAATACATTACCGATTCAATCACTGTAAGTACGTAAGCGACTACATTAAGCAGCTAAGTAATAGTAAAAAAATCACTCATTAATATGTACCAATTTTCATTTAACTCGATCCTTTATTCATTGTACAACATTATCGACATTTTTACCTAGACTTCTTGTGTTAATAATACAAATTCTGTATCTGTACATTGGTTTTCTATATTGCGAAGAATTAAAAATTGATTGTAAACATAAAATTGTTTTCTTCATTTCAAAATTACACAAGCCATTAAATCCTTTGGAGGAAATGTCCTGTAATCGGTTTTTGATTTTGAAATTTTTTTCTCTTATTTTTACAGTATTTTTATAGTATTTTTTTAGTACCTATTTTTAGTCATTTTGAATCTTATTTATTCACTTTGAGAATATTTTTTTCGTTCATTATAAATTTTTTTTCAAGTTCTAAACTTTCAAATGAACGACATTTATTTATTTCTTCTTCAAATTAAATATTTATTGATATATTATAATTTTGTGACAGTATCGAAAAAATTAATTATAAAGTTTCTAAATGTGAAATTTAAATTTCTCATTTTTATTGTAATTAGTAATTTTAGGAAAATATTTACAATAAAAAATATTTCATTTGAATGTTCAAAACTTGTGGATCATGAAAACAAACGAAATTTATTTATTTCTTTTTCAAATTAAAATTTAATTAGAATAATTTTACGTCTTGTATAAAAAAAATTAATTATGAAGTTTCTGAATGTTACATTTAAGTTTTCAATTTTTATTACAATCAGTAATTTATAAAAATACTTTTAATGGAAATTATTTCGTTCTTTCGATACGTTGAAAACTTGTGGATCATGAAATATTTTCAATTTTTTGAAAATAGCTTTTAAATAATTCTCTACAAGGAGAATTGTTAGAAAATTAATTTTAATGAGTACTATTTAATTAGTATTTTTGTACTTTTAAGATAGTTTACTAATATATTTTATAATTTAAAAAATATTAATTTTAAAAAATTTGTTTATTAATTAAGAAGTGAAATTAATAAACGATTCTCTCTTGACCGGTTTATGTAATAAATAAATAAATAAATAAAAGTATTAAAAATATTTATTTTACTATATTTATTATTTTAAGTTTTGTACTTTTATTTATTAATTTATTTATATAAATTTTTTATATAGGAAAAAATTCAGTTCGTTTTATTTTTGAGGATATAAAAATAGAAGGCTGTAATATTTATTTTTTAATTTTCTTTATTGAAGGACAATATTAGAATGTTATAAATAATACTGTATTTTCAGTCATACGAGAAATGCAAATTATTGAAAAATTTTTATACTGATTCGTATATAATATTTTACAGCGTATTGAATATATAAAAAAATATTTCCTGTAACAATCACAACCAACTCTTTATTTTTTCTATTCTCTTTCTTAAAAAATATTATAAACTTCATCCATTTTTATTTTAAAAATAATTTAAAATATCTTTTTTTCTGCAATTCAAGCAATGTGTCATTATAGTTTCATATAGAATTTATTAATTACTTATCATTAAAGAATTATAATTTATATATATTTTTTTTTACAAATTATACATTATATGAGTGATGACAATTTTTTTTTTTAGAAATTAGTGTTAGTTTTTATTTTTAAAAGGAATATAATTTTTTTTTACAAATAAATTTACAAATAAGTTTACAAATAAGTTTACGAATAAGTTTACGAATAAATATACAAAGAAATTTATGAACCGATTAACAAATGAATTTTCGAATAAATTTTCAAATAAATTTTCAAATAAATTTACAAATAAATATTCTAAAAAATATACAAATAAATTTACGAATAAATTTACAAATAGATTTACAAATAAATATTCCTACAGTTTTATATATTGATACAATAAATGTAATTTATGTGTAAAAAATTAAGTGTAACATTAACAATTAAGTAACATTTAATATTTTATAAGTACATTTTTTTTAAAGTAAAAATTTATTATTAAAAATAAAAGATAATAAAAATAACAATATAGAACTTAAATATCAGTGATGTAAAGCAAAATTGGTAGAATAAAAAAATAAATTCTATTCTAATGAAACAATAATTGCAATAATATTACATAACTTATTTAAAAATTAAAACTTTATGTTTGAAGTAGAACTAATAATATAATAAATATTTCATTAAAAGTTGTTTCATTGTATAATAGAAGGATAATTATTTCACGATCATTAAGTTCTGAACGTTCGAAGGAAAAAAATATTTTGCATTTTAATATTTTAATAAAATAATAAATAATAATATTTTAATAAAATAATAAAACTTAAATAGTTTTATACAAAAATAACATTATCATTAGAATTATAAAAGTTTATATTTGGACATTTTGTTTTTGAGTAATTATGGACAAAAAGTTTCATCTTTTAAATAATGTTGAATTATAACAACAATATTTAATACTTTCACAAGAAGCGTTTCATTTTTCCATTACAAAAGAACAAAAAAAATTTAAAAAAAGTTCACAATGAAAAATTGAAAGATTCCATAAAAATTTTGCGTTTTCTAGAGAAAATAGATTTTTAAAATAATATGTATCTTTCTATTTTTTTTTAGTTTGGAATTTTGAAAAACTACTCAAAATTTCTATGGAATCGAAAGAATATTTTTGTTTGTTTGTTTGCGATGAAATAGAGTAGAAAAATTTTGGACATTTTTTTTCTTTTTTTTTTTTTGCAAGTTAAAATTCATAAAATTTTGATAGCAGTTAACTTATTTTGTTTCTTTTTTGTTTTTTATTATTATTATTATATGTTCGGAGAGAATTATCAAAGAAACATTTATTCTTTATTTATATAGAAAGATAAATTTTTCATTTGTCAATCTCTTTTTTGATAGAAGGAGAAATTATTTACTGGTCGAGAGAAAAAGAGAGATAGCGAGAGATAGATAGAGAGAGAGAGAGAGAGATCATTTTGAACGAGTAGCTGAGTGAAAAGTCTTTTGAATGAAATATATTTTACTTTAGATGTGAGTTTTTCTTAAAATTTCTTCTTAATAATCGCTGTCGAGAAACTCGAGGTCCGACAAAAAATCTCTTATTGGTATTCTTCTGATCCTTAGTCTGTCTTTGATGCTGTTTTTTCTATTATTCTTTTTATTGTTTCCTCTCGTTGAAGCACTCGACGAGGCATAAACGTCATAAAGATCATCTGTGCTGAGACCCTGTTTAATAAAATAAAAGATTTTTTTTTTTTTATTTTCCAGACGTATAATGCTTGAGAAGGATAATTATTAGGATCTGTTTCTTAGTTAATTAATGAAGACTGTATTTTGTGATTATAATTAAATGGATTACATATTCAATTTTTGATACAATTTTTTAATTAATTAATTAATTAATTATGTAAATATTTATTTATATACAATTAATATAGTTTTTTTGTCAGTTAATTAATTATTAATGTAACTTAACACTCACATTGTCCAAAAGAGTTGTCCAAAGTCTAGAATTCTTCAAGCCATTATATTCTTCCTTAAACGAGGGAGAATTCAAATTTTTGAATTCATTTTCGTGTTGATTTTTGTGTCCTGGTTCAATGACAAATCTTTTTGTTTGTACACCTCGACATTGACTGTGGAAAGGGTACATTCTGAAAAAAGGTAGAAATTTTTTAATTTTAGATTAAATTATAAATAAATGGAGGCAAAATATTTTTTTGAATTCTATTATAAGAAAAAGAAAATTAGGAAAAATTTTTACTCTACTTACTCGCAATTGACGACTACTGCTCGAGCATGGGCAAATGTTATTAACACACTGAACAGAAAAACGCATTCACGTAATGCCATTTTATCTGAAACAAAACAAACAAAAATTATTCCAAATTAGTCCAAATATACTAAGTACTGTTTAATAAAGTTAAATAATGTTAATGAAAGAGTAATAATTTAAAAATGATGAAATAATAATATTAAAATAATAAATAATAAAATAATAAAATAATAAAATAATAAATAATAAAACAATAAATAATAAACAATAAAAAGAATAAAAAATAAAATAAAAAATAATTATAAATTTTTTAAAAATAGAATTATTAAAAACGTTTATAATAAATATAAAAATAATTATAAATAAATATAAAAGTCTTGATATAATTTGCTTGTCATTTTCACGTGAATAGTGAAAAAAAATATTAAAAATTGTTTTAGAAATTAAATAATCATTTATGTAGGGCATCATAAATAGAAATTTGTCTTTTAAAAAAAAATTTATATGTGATTTGAAATTTTTCGAATACGTATTTTTAATCTTTAATTATAAACTTTTTGTGAATTTCATTTTTATGTTATTTTATTATTTGTGATTAAATTTCTCCTTTTATTATGTATTTATAAGTAAAAACGAAAAAAAATTAATATTTATGGATAAATGGAAGATTTTTTTTATCGTTTTTAATTAGAATTGTAAATTTTAAATAATATTGTATTAATTAAAATCACATAATAAATTAATCAATATTAGACTTTTGCTTCTGTGCTTTACTGGAATAATAAATAAAATTAAATGAAAAAGTAAGAATAAAATAAAATATCACTGAAGTAATTAATTACTTTTAATTAAATTATTTTATTGATAAAAATAATAATTGTATTCATTAAAAATTATTAAATAATTTAAATTTAAAAATTAGATTTTTTTGTTTTTAATACACGAAAAAAAATTTTACTTGAAACAACGATAAGTTTCTTTAGAGTAGCGAAAGTATTAACTGAAGGGACTAAAAATTTCCCGAATATAGTGAAATTTCTAGCTTTTTCGAGTAAAAATTTTTTTTTTTGTTATAAAATATTTTAGTCAAATATTTAAGTCAGCTAAATATTATTTAATTCAAATACTGAAATTATTGTTTCAAATTCAATTTATTTGACTGAAAAAAAATTTATTTGATTCAAGTAAATATTTATTTAAGAATAGAAAAGTATTCGATTATTTGAATCAAATAAATTTTTTTTCAGTGATATAATATTGATAATATATTTTCAATAAATACATATGAAAGGAAATGAATAATAATTCGTTGATTATTTAATTTTTTTCAGGAAACTTCATCAAGACTGAGGAACATCATTTATATTCATTCTCACAAGGCGACGTCGACATTCGGTGAGAAATAATTGACTCGGATTATAAAATTACTACGAATGACATTCGTTAAAAATTTCGTATCGTTCCGTTCACGAGAGTATAAAACGTATGATTATAATTATATAATTAAAAATTTATTACGGTTTTTAAAAAAAATGTGTTAGCTTCGGGAGTGTTCGTATTTTTTCTAAAACCGCGAATCGATTTTAGGGTGTTTATTATTATTTTTTTCACGCAATAGAAAATTACTTTTATTTTCGGGAGTGTTCGAATTTATCTTCAATCACGAGTCTTAAAATTTATTTATTTTCTTTATTATTTTTATCATTATTTTATAAAAATTACTTCCAATTTTTTTAATTATTATAATTTTTGTAATTTTAAATTGTTTTTATTACCTATTATATGATCATAAAGTTCTGAACGTTCAAATTAAAGAAATATATTTATTTCTCCTGGAAATTAAATTTTCATTGCAATAATTTTGCTTTACGATCAAAAGAAGTTATTTATTAAATAGATTAATAAATTAATTTTTTCGATTTTTGGAAGAATAAAAGGTAAAAAAAAACACTCTTTTAAAAGATATTTATTAAAATTTATTATTTATAAATAAATGATTATAATAATAAATTTATTATTTATTAAAATTTCTAAATGTAAAATCGAGTGGGAAATTTAAGTCTGTAATTTTGATTATAATCAGTAATTAGGAAAATATTTTTAATAACAAATATTTCGTTCATTTGAACGTTCTAAACTTATTGCGGATAAGTTTTTATTACTTTTCAATGTTATTTCTATAATATTTTATTATTAATTTTTTCCTTATTTTTTTTTAATTAGGTACTATTTTAATTTTTGTTTCAATTGTAAATTCTGATATTTCTATTATTTTTTATTAATTAATTAGAATTGTTTTTGTTACTTTTCATTATTATCTCTATATATTTTTTTCCTGTTTTTTATTATTACTTGCACTTTTAGTTCGATTCTAAATTTTGTTTAAAATGTGAAATTAAAATCTGTTAATTAATTAAAACAAAATATGGTTTTGGGAGTGCTCGAATTTTCTTTTAATCCGCGTTCGATCGATAAATTAATATTTAATAAATATAATTTTTTTCGTCGCGTTTTCGGGAGTGTTTGGAATTTTAAAAATCGCGAGTGGACTTTTTTTTAGTTTGGAAGACAACGATTTTTACTTCAGGAAGGAGATCGGGCAAGGAAAAATGGAATTCAAGGTAAAATTTCTTTCTTTACACTTAATTAAAAAATTTAAACTAAGAAAATTACTCCAAGAATTGAAAGGGTTAAATTAATAAATTAATTTATATTACGACTTTTTTATTTGCTATTTCGGTCATCAGTCGCATTTTTTTTAATAATATTTAGAATCTACATGGTGAAACTAATTTAATAGCATTTGAAAATCAAAATTTAAAATAAGCAAAAAAATTTACTAATTCGAACTTGTAACGTGTAATTTAATTTTTATTTTCATTAAAAAAAAGAAAAAGTTTTATCTAATTTTGAAATTAGATGAAGCGTATAGAAAAATTAGAGATGAGTGACTGTTATGAAATAAAAAAAAAAGAAGTAAGGAAGGAATTTTATTGTTAGAGCTTATTATAACTTTGTCGAAGGGATCTTTTTGGTTTCGTTCTAATTTCATTTCGTCGTATTAACAATTTAGGGGTGGGTTTATCGAAAGACATGTTCTGTAGTACATCCGGTGTAGTGTAGAAAACTTTTCTTCTTTCTCTTTCTCTTTCTCTCTCTCTCTATATATATATATGTATAAAAGGATCAAAGTTTATTCAGAAAAGTAAATATGATCCAGAGTCATTGTACCTCAAATAACTCTTAATCTTTGTCAAACTTTGTAACGTAATTTAATCTTAAATCAAGGCTTCTAATTTTACACAAGTTCTCCGATGAGAATTATTTTTAGCTCATTTATTATTGATTGAGAAAAGTGGAAATAATTTTTTGTTTCTCGAATTCAATGAATTTTTCAAAACAAGTTCAATATTTGTTTGAAAAAAAATTATTTATTTATTTCTTTATTTATTTATTATATTTTTTATTTGATTCATTATTTTATTTACATTTATTTTAATTTACCTTTATAAACAAATAATTTTGCTTAATCAAGAACTAAAATTATATTTTTCTCTAATTCTCTTTTTTTCTGAAAAAAAAAATTATTTGTCTATATAAATAAATAATTTGCCTATGTAAATAAATAATTTACCTATGAAAAAAATAATTTAACTATACAAATAAATAATTTCCTTTTATTAAGTCAATTTTTTTGGAAAATTTAACTGTAAAAATAGTAAAATACAAATAAATAATTTACTTTTATTGAGTCAATTAATCGGAAAATTTAAATGTAAAATATTTTTGGAAAAATGGTTTTTTTTTAATAAATGTTATCAAAATTTTAGATTTATGAAGGAATGAATTATTAGTGTCGATAAAAATTATTCTTCAAGAATATATAAATCTCGTGCGGAAAGTTGTCGTAAAAGGCTTTATACACCTGTTGCATCGTATTGTGTTTCCTTCCCCCTTTCACTGCTTGTCAAGTACGTAGTGTATCTTTTTTTTTATTATCGAAGCAGACGAAACATTATTATAATTAACATTCTCAATTTTATCCCTGATTTCTCAAATAATTTCTAAAAAGACAAAAATAAAATTAGAAATTCTTCAAAATGTTTTTTGTCAATAGAAAATTTATTTTTAAAATAAATTTTTCTCGATTCGAAAATTTCTTTCAAGACCTGCAGACGAAAAGTCAGATTTAACAAATTAGAAAATTACAAAAAAGTAATTAGAAATAATTTTTATTTACAACGTAAAAGTTTACAACGTTTATAACCAACGATTTAGTGGAAAAAAATATTTTTCTATTAAAATTTTGATATATTTTTGTATTAAAAATAATATTCATGATTTTTTATCAATAATTTTAAAAAGAAAAAGTTGCAAACAAAAAACTATTTTTTTCTTTCAATCGTCGATCATAAACGTTGTGAACTTGAACTGAAGTAATTATTTTAAAAAGAAAAATTGGTAAACAAAAAGTTTTTTCATCCATTATTTAAAAAAAAAAAATTTGCAGACAGAAAAATTGTTTTCATCAATTAATTTAAAAAGAAAAATTTGATTATTTCCGTTTGAAAAATATCCTTTTTTTATAATCGTTGATAATATAAACGTTCTAAATTTCGCCCACGTTATTTATTTGATTTAACATTTATGTTTGAAATTAAGCAAACTATTTTTTTAGTATATTGTATTTGAACAAAATTTTTTATTCGAAAAAGTATTATTTGATTCGAAAAAAGCTTCTCTTGAATTATTATTGTCAATAATTATTAGATCGTAAAATTTCATTTTTTCATATTTTCGAAAATGTGTAACAATAGAAAATAATTTACTTTAAAAAATTCTATTTTCGATAAATAATTTTTTTTTCTGCAATTTCTGATTCTGATGAATAAAATTTATAAAGTACGCTTGAGGAATTTTATCTAGAATGAAATCGACTCCTTTTTTTGTGGGTTTATATTATCAAAAATGACATGACGAGGTAGAATTTACATACTTTTTGTTAATAACACGGCGCCATGTAAATTCCTTTCTTTTTTATGTGTGCAGTAAAAAAAAAATTAAAAAAATTTCCCGCGCATA